CGTCGTCCACCCGCGAGGCTCCCCCAACCTCAGAAAGCATCGTTGGGATTCGAAACGCTGGCAGAGCGAGGAAGACGAGACAGCGGCAGGTATGTGACGACGGCTATTTCGCGGTCGTGGAGTTTCGTGCCTGGCATCTCGAAGCTTCAGTTCAAGCCGCCGGAAGCATGCTTTTGCCGAGCCACGATGAGCTCTCGAGGCCCTCAGGTTTGCCTTGGTGGAAAAATCGGGACAAAGAGGAGCACGTTTCCGACTTTTCCCTTTTGCCCTGACACCCAGCAAAACGGCCACTCGATCTGCAGGTCCTCAGAGTCATATCTGAGCCGACCCTTTTCCAAGACCCCGCTTCTCCTCTCCCGTACTCTCGGCCCTCTCCTTCATGATGGCGACGACCCTCCGACTTCGGCGCGGGTCCGCTTGGCTCCGCTTGCACGTGCCGCCTACCTACCCAGGCTGCGCAATAAACGCTAAGGAACAGAGACAGACAGGAGGAAAGAATATGAGAATGTGGACAGACAGACAACTTCAACAGCTAGCTGGCAGTGACCGTGGATTGTGCCTGCCTCGGCTTGTGAGTGGCATCTTTCCTCCTGCTGCCCCCTGGAAGAGCTGGTCCTTGGCCTTCACAAGTGCTGGATCCGAGGAGCCGTCGACATCAGTGCCCCATATCAGCTCGTCCACTTGCGAGTCTCCTCCACCCGGAACGGATCTTTTGCCCTCGAGCTTTGGAGCCACGCCAATGCTTTTGCAACCGGCCGCTCCCTCCAAGTTCAAGAGCTGCTTCAAGGCCGAACTCGTGGAGCCGTCGATGTCGTGTCCAAGGACTATTTCGTCCACCTGCGACGGGCCAGCTCCACCGCAGCCACCGCCTCAGAAAAGAAGAGAGACTTGCACACACTGTGCATCAACACCTAACCGACCCAACCGCTACTAATTCCTGTGCCCAGAAACTCTGCTGCAGGTCTTCACCCTTTGGCTTTAGCAACCAGTGGCCGTGAACTCCAGCAGCTCCATTGAAGAGCTCTCCGTACTGTGAGGGATGTTCGGAGGCCAAAGGCGTACGGTCATCTCGAAGAAGCCTCAACACTATGGGCCACATAAGCTATGCGACAAAACACAAAGCAAAGGCCCATCGAAGCTTTGGCGCCCATCCACTTGCGAGACATTGGCCCCAGGGAAGCGGCGGCGCGGTGTGTCGTAGGGCCGTGGAGGCCCTGTCAAATGTGGCCGCCCAGCCAAGCCTTCCTGAGCAACGGAATGGGCTACTGCCACGGGCCGGACCCCAAAGCCTTAGATCTTTATGGGACTTTCCTAATGAATCTTACTTGTGCCTCCCAGTATCGTACAACTTGCCATGATCTTCTGCGGAATAAACTCGCAAGGATGCTTTGCTCTGCGTCGCGGTGTGCGAACCAGCCGCGGCATGGAACTGCCACGCATATGCATCGTTGTCCAGCCCGCAATTTGTTCCTGCAGTGAGGTGCTGAAGTCCTCAGACCTTCTCTAAAGCCTTCTCTGATGACCTGTTCGCCGTGCTGGGCCTTGACCATCAAGTGCACGGGGATAAATACGTTTGCCGCCTAAACGAGTCGTTTGGTCACCCTTCTGCAATGCTGGCAGGCACATGTTCTCGACATCCGTGGGGGAGTTGGGACCGCCGAGCATGGCTTGCCCAGGCAATCGCGACCGTTGTTGTTCCACCTGTGCCCGTGCTGGTAGGCTACGTGCAGAGCCCTGTCAAGTCTTTCTTATGTTGGGACCGCATGGCAACGAAGATGGTGACACATGCTCAACCGTGTTGTTATCCATCAAGCTCCAGAGCATTGCATGGTGGACTTCATGAGCCAAAGGCTTCGAATATAGCATGTTGCGAAAGGCCTCGCTCTCTCTGCTTCCTCAAAGTCATTCGGAGCGGGTATATAAGGTTCCCTGCCCCTTTTTTTTTCTCTCTCTCTTCTTCCTTCGGGTTAGAGGAGCTGGTAAGGCTCCCCGGCCCATTGGGCCCCCCAACGTTCTGGGGCTTTCGGGGTTTCTCTCTCTCTCTCTCTCTCCCGGGCGTGGGGGTCGGTCAAGACCCCCGGGCTTGAAGCCCACCCGCAAATACTCCCTCGCTCTCTCTCTCTCTTGCTGCTCTTGCCGGCTTGCTCGCTCGCTGGCTCGCCGGCTCGCTCGGCCTCTGGCTCACTTGTTCGCCTTGCCAAACATAACCAGCCCTAGAATGCACATGATGTATTTCCGAATGCTCCGATGCCTAATGGCTCCCAAATCTGGAAAGGCCTGGCTTCGTCGCACAAAGGAGTGGCTGCCTGATTGTGTGTGTTGCTGGGGAAAATGAGTGATCTTGCTCTAGATTGCTAGGATTGTCTATGGTGGAATTTCACATGGTAGCGGAGCTTGCCGGGAAAGAGTGAAAGAGAATGGACTTCGCAGTGACAGGAATTGGCGGTGAAATCAAACTGTTCCCTCCGCAGGTCTACCGTGGTGAACTGGAAAATGGGCGGACCGGTCATGGCAGCAGGGGCGATATGTCGGACTGCACAAGCCCGTCGCCAAGCTAATGATGGATGACGTCGAAGGATCGAATGTGGTGACTGATGATGATGTGCAGCAAACCAGAATGCACAATTATCAACTGTCACTGTCCTTTCGAAAACTGGCATATATGCTGGCGCAAATCAATGATGGCGCCGCAAGAGTGATTGTTCGACATGAAGAAACAGAGAGTGGCTTTGAGATTTGGCGTCGATTGCACAAGCAGTTCTCACTGCCCGACAGCGCGAGAGCCACGAATCTTTTGAATGAGATCACAGCAACATCTGCGGTTGAATGTTCGTAACATCACTACGTTCGCTGAGGCCCTGGAGATTGTGTATAGCTTTATCAAGAGCAGACACCTGACTGCGCCGAGTGATCGAGTGGACCACCAGAGCGAAGCCGACATGGACATTGGAGCATTGAAAGGAAAGAAGGATGGGAAGGAAAGGAATGAAAGGTAAAGGAACGCTGCGGACAATCAGGGTCGAGTTTCCCGCGGCGCTGTGGCGCTGCGGTGCGCTGGTGGCCAATGGGAGCCGCTGCGAGCCCTGGGCGTTCGTNNNNATGGCTTCTCGTTGCTGTGCCCAACTAGGAACGAGACATGATTTTGAAAAGGGGCGGGAGCCGATGGTCTCGGCGGACGACTGTTCGGGTGACCCTTAACACTGCCAGCACTGGGACTTTTTCCTACACGAGTAGTGGGGGTGAGCGTCGGGTCCGATCTTCGGGCGTCTGAGGCCACTGGCCTCAAGTCTGTAGCAATAACCGGCCACTGGCCTGAGGCTGTAGCAAGTCGGCAGCACTGGCCGCTTTTATCGCAGCAGCCACTGGCCGCTAAGGTAAGGCGAACGACTCGTCCACCCCCCTTCTCCTACTAGGATAACGACATCTCCGACCCGGAGATGAAAGAAAAGACGCTCTACAATGTACAAGAGCTCAGTACAACCATAACAGCCAAACCGTTGCATCTTTGTGATGAACGGCTGTTAAACCACTGCGGTCCACCGAAAACTACTGGCTTCTTTAAGCCGCCTGCAAGCTACAGACTACTGTGCTGCGGGTGAACTTGCCATGCACTGCATGTAAGTTGTTGGCACTGCCAGCTCTCTGGCGAACTCACCTTGCCTGCATAACTTAAAGGCGGGCGTGACCTCTCAGGTGGTTGGTTCTCACATTTAGGGATTAGGGTTTCTTTTAGGGTTTGGGGTTTAGGTTTCTTTTAGGGTGACCACCAGAGAGGTCACGCCCGGCAACTTATACAGAGTGTGGAGGGTGGGCAAGACAAAGCTCCACTGAAAGTCCAAGCCGAAAGCTGCAGATCAAACTTTGACCATGCTGCATGTTGCAATGCGCTGTGCAACGTCTGCACACATTGTTAGGTCTGAACACGCCCTCTCAGTCATTGCTTCCTTTAGCAGTGACTGCAACTTGAGAATCAGGCCTCTCGGACTGTCGTCTGGGTCGGCTGTTGGAATCAGAAAATTGTCGACGTATGCTCACAAGCCCACCGAACTTGGAAGCTTCTGAGACATTTGACTTCAACTTAGCAGCCGAAGCCATGTGGTTGGGCTTGCTAAACTTGTGAGAGGCATGTTCCGGAATGACTGGCATGCATCAAATGCAATTAAAAAATACAAAAAATCGGGCGAGAAAAACACGAGAGCTAAAACGAGAACGAGAGGCAATCCAGCAGCAGGGGACAACACAAGAAAACTGCAAGAACATACAAGAAAAACACGAGAAAAATACAGGACGGCCGGCTGCCCCTCCCGACCTCTCGTTTTTTCTCGTATTTTTGCTGGGGCGGGCCTGCAGCAAAAATGTGAAAAGCAGAGCTCGCGCAGCGGTTCCTTTTT